CCAGACGCTCATGCAGGAGCTGCCCCCTGGTGGTCAGAGCGCTCCCACAGGGGGAGCTCTGCTCAGCCACAAGCCAGGCTGATGGCTGCCAGTACAGCGGTGGTGGCGGGAGCCTCTTCTGCCTCCTCAGCAGCGCTAAGGATGTCTGACTGCAGCTTAAGCCTGCTCCCCGCTGGCAAGTGGACATCCCCGGAGGGCTCCCAGGCTGCCAGAGGGATGTCTGATTGCCAGCTTAGACCCAATCCCCCAGGGAGCAGGCCTAAGCCAGCAGGTGGTCATCCCCCGAGGAGTCCCAGACTGAGAGAGGGCACAGGCCGGGCTGAGGGACCCCCCCCCCCCCCAATTGCACAAATTTTTGTGCACCAGGCCTCTAGTTTAAAAATACAATCTAAACTCATACACCAATGATCTGAGTGAGTCGCTGGACTAAAAAGGGAGAGTAGGCTGTGAGGGAGGCTCCCAGCCCGCGGCCAAGGCCAGCAGCTGCGCTCACTTCCAGTTCTGGGCCTGCACAGGCTTTGAGCGTGCGACTCACTTAAACCAAATGTCACCACACAGCAAAGTGGCGACCTGCTGGACTGACAAGAGAGGGGTTTTGCACACAGACTCCTCGCTGTCCTGTGGCCCACGGGAGAGCTGCAGCACTGGGTCACGGACACCCCATCGGGACAGAGGCCCAGCGTCCGCACAGACTGCCCACCCACAGCAGTGCCCAGTCAGTTAGCAGCTCCAACGAGAGTGAGGACCAGTGCCCACCCCTCACCAGCAGTCGGCTCGGACAGCCCAGGGCCTCTCCATCCGTTTGCTGCCGGTAAAGGAGACGGTGGAATTTGGGGGCCCCTGAGGCCCTGCCCTGTCCAGGTGGCTCAGCCCCGTGAAGAGTCTCCAGTGGTTCCCAGGCTCCTCAGGGCTCACCGCCATGTGCACATAGCAACGTGCTTGCGACAGCTGAGTGCCTTCCAGCGTTTTCCCTGGGTTACTTTTCAACACTGTCCTTGAGAGATAACAAACACTATTGCTCGAAACCCCAAACCAAGACCTAATATCTTTAAGCTTCCTAAGGTCAAGGAAGGAAAATAAAAAACAAAACAGGAGCACACAGAAGCCTGTCCAGCACTCTGTTCTGAAACAGACAGTACTCCAAGCCACCCCTTTAAACTTCCTTACCAACCTGTATGACTTTCACCCAAAAAGACATCACAGGACTCCAGCTAATAAGCAGGTTCTACTCTTTCTTACAGATACTTTCAAATGAGTAAGTTTCAACATGTCCATTATACTATTTATAAGACAATGATTAAAACACTGTCAACGACACGGGAGTCACCCCCCAAAAGGAGGGGCGGACGCTAATATCAGCACAAGAGGGCCCACGGTTCCTGGCTGTGGTGCAGCGAGGAAGAACGTGGGAGGGAACGTCTAAGCAATGCACCTCAGCCTGGCTGAGGTGAGCTGGGCTGCTAATGGGGACAGCGGCCCGGGACTGTG